ACACCTCAAAAACCTCCTATTACCAAGTTTCGTTTAATTAAGTTCAGTATTTCAAAAGTTATTTGAAAAAAACGAAAATAAAAATAAAACTTCAACATCCTGTATCTTGGAAACGAAGCGTTTCCGGACATTTATTTATTTGGACAATTCATATTAGAATATTGTGAGGAATCACCTCCTGAAGTTTGTCAAAGTACTTTTGAATCACCCTGTATATACACACAAAACTACAAATAAATTTTAACATTAAAAAAAATGAAACTCAACGTAACAAAATGTAAGGCAATGGTCCTAACCACATCCTTCAAATACAAAAACATCAACTCAAACAAACTCAATCTGGGATTAGTAAGAAACTTTACTTCTTCTCTAGAATTTCCCAATATCTTTCAACATACTCCAAAATTACAATATATAACACCATTATCCAGCCCAACTTTGATTATTGTGGTAGCTTACTTGATTCAAATAAAATTATTATTGGATCCCCAAAAAATTATTCTGTATCTCATTACAGATTCAAAATTTGCAAAATAAAGAGATAGAGCTGCTTGCTTTTCTAGATGTTTACTGATTATTCTCAGTCCATAGGACACTTTGCCAAGCTTCGAAGAGATTTCCACTATATGTTGTGACCAGTTCAGCCATTCATCAACGTAAACACCTAAAAACTTGGTGTCATGCAATAGTATTGAAGTAGTATTGATAAATAATATATCATTTGGTTTTTCCTCGGGTGTTATATAGTTTGCAAATATTATCACTTTAGTTTTAGACTCGTTCAATACCAACTTATTTACTTTCAACCAATTTTTTGTTTTCTGAAAAATGTTTATAACAGTTTACCATCACCTCCGGATATGTCTCCCCCTGCCAGAAGGCTTGTATCATCAGCATATTTATATAGTTATTAATTGATTCTCTGGTAATTTAGATTTTCATAAATCATTCATAAATGTAACGAATAGTAGTGGGCCCGCTACACTTCCTTGCAATATACCCACAGATGTTATAATATCAGATTTGTAGTTTTTCGAGTCTTTAGTGATACTGTCTCTCTGTTGTTTGTTTGCTAAATATGAGTGAAACCCTGTAAGAACATTTTCTCTTATTCCATATTTCTCTAATTTGATTAACAAAATATTATGATCCAGACAGTCGTATGCTTTTGACAGGTCAAGAAGCATACCCAGAGATAGATGCCGTTTTTCCATCAGACAAATTATGTTCTGTGTATATTGGAAGATTGCCGTTTGTGTTGATTTTTTTTGTAAACAGCCATGTTGATTATCACTGAAGATATAACACTCATGAAAAAACTAACTTTATTACACATTGTGGTTTCATATAATTTGGAGAAACTAGGTAGTAAGTAGGGATCGACCGATACCGATATTTATATCGGCCATCGGTGATATATCAAAGTCTCCCTATGATCGATCCAAGTCATTGCATGGTGCCATAATTACACTTCCTTTGGATATAAAAGCTGGTGAAGAATTCTCGTCTCTTGAAACGGTTTCAATCATTTTAGAGGCGCAAAGGAGAGTTGTATACAGGGTGTCAATTCGAAAACTTTCCACCCTTAATATTTTCCTTCCAGTACATAATATGAAAAAAATGAAAAGACAGGTCAATTTTATTTTCATGTGGGATACTTTAAATGATTATTTTCAACCCTCATGGTTCAACGCCTTAGGAGGGGAAGGCGTTAGCTTTAGAATATCAAAGCAGTTATTAACATCTATATCACTTGTAAGAAAATTGGGAAAAATTTTAATGAGTTATTTTCCGCTTATGATGACCCCTTGCCTTATTCCTTTGGGAGTTCATGCCTCTTTTGTTTTGTAACTTCTTTCTGTTCCCTACTGAATTTTTATTCACAATTGAAAACTTGACAGTTTCACTAAAAAGTCCATACGTTCCACTAATCGTTCACAATGATCACGCTGAAGACCGTGGTTTTTCCTGTTCCACTTGCTGGCGAGCGTTACTGTTGTGTAAACTCAAGTGGAATTGCAAGCTAACTTTATTCGTATTAAAAAAGAAGTATAAATCATTAAACAAATTGAGTTTGAGTATAATCAGAATGTCTTATAAGGCGATTGGAGATTTGTAGATGCGACGCAATAATGCTCCAGAAACTAGTTCATTTAGTTGAGACTAGCTAACAGTTGAGCTGGTAGAAAAAAATTGAGATTTCACACTTTTTAGAAATTCTGAGTTTGCAGTTATTTAAGACCAAATTGCCAAATTGAACATTTTTTTGATCCTTAGTTGGAATGAATATTTAGGTGGTCACCTCAAGCACAGATGTTATTTATTTTGGAGAAATTCTCGAACACAGTGGGTGTTTTAACAGAATTACCATTAAATTATGACATGAAAATAAATGTCAAATTCCAAAGTGATTGTGTGGCTGCTGAGAACATTTTTTGCACATTACATTTCATTAATCAATCAATCAATCAATCAAACATTTATTGAATCAGTTTTCCTTCACAATCACGTTAGACAAAAAACATAACACCATCATAAAATAATGGCTGATTCAACAGGTCAAACAAACATAAAAAAGTCAATATAAAACACAAAACAACAAAAAAGTTAACAAGCTGCAATCAAATTAGAATTCAAGGAGAAACTCATCCACAGAGTAGTATGCTTTTTGCAATANGATGTACAAAAGTTGTTACGAGGACCTAATGTACATGATACTGTACACTCATTCAAAACGTGGATTTGAACATCAAATATACTATTTCATGCTTCGTAGACTTATGTGAGAGTACATATTCATCAATAAGTAACTTATTGTGCGAAAATTCAAATGAAATTACTCAAAGTTTCAGCAAGAAACTACAATGAATGATCACTCACCAGGCAAATCCAATTTATCGTCGGCCATGTTCAACAAGTTATAAATTAGTTTAGTCCCTACCTATTAGATGTCACTGCTCGTCTCAGTATTTCAAAACACATGTACATGAGAAATGCCACACGGTCCCAAAACGTAAATTGCGAACAAAATAATAACTGATTAATAGTATGTACACTATAGCGTACTATGGGTCTGAAAGGGTTAAAATTCTGATCATCCAAAAATAATGTCACGAAAAAGTCCTAAAATCTTTATATGATATCATAATTCAATATTGATAAAAATTCATCAATTATCCATTCTCTCATCAATTCCAAGAGAAATAAATGAAATATTCCAATATTTTACGCTTCAGAATGGGGAATGTTCCTCGATTTGGGTTATTAGAGCAAATGCAAGTTTGAACAAAATAAAGTTGAGTTTAATTCATGAGTTTTTCAAGTTCACTTCGAAAAGTATTCAAATTGATGTTTCAAATGTTAGGTTTTAATTTTTAAAGGGATTTGTTTCTAATTCACATATTGGCAACAGCGCCTATATCAAGTTGAAATAATTTATACGTACCTAGATATTCTACTTTAAAAAAGGAAAATTATCTTTATAAATCAACAATTAAGGCAAAATATAAATTATAGTTCAATACCA